AAAAAAGCTCAAAAATATATGTAAATTAGCAGCATTTCCTAAGTGATCAGTAGGTCAAAATGAGAAATCAGAAAATGCAGATGTGAATGATAATGAAGATACACCACACCCAAACTTAGGGGATGCTACTACAGTAGAGTTTATAGGAATATTTATACCTGTGAACCTGTATTAAAAATAAGAATGATCCCAATTCAATAACCTAACCTTCCACTTTAAGGCACTGAAAGGAGAGAGCAAACTAAACCTAAATCAAAGAAAAGGAAATAATGATTAGAACAAAAAATCCATAGATAATAAAACACCAATGGAAGATAATAGACTTTTTAAACTTTACAAATTATGATGAATTAAAATAATTACAGACAGCATTAAGTATTTTTTGCAAAATGGGTAACATTTTCTTAATGTATTAAGCAATATTAAATTTTCAACATGTTGTATATACCAGTTATGAAAAGCAAATCCTGAAAACATCCAGCAGGAACTTCCTTTTTCTCAATTCAGATTCAGTTTGGAAACTGTCAACCAAATCATAAACCCATTTAAATCCCCAGCTGTTGGAAAATCTTGCCTAATGGAAAGAGCACAGTTTAGGGTGTTGATAAAATATATGCCTGACTCCTTGTACCATTACTTGCTGCTATGTGACTTTGGACAAGTCACTGGATTTCTTGAAATTTACTTTCTTTGTCTGTAAAATAGAGGTAATTTTCTCAGTTCAAAAGAAGAATGTAAGGTAATATGCATAAAAGAACCTAGCTCAGACTAGGCAGAGGGACTCGTGCCAGTAATCTCACCTACCCCAGATGTGGAGATCAGAAAGGTTTGCTTAGGCAAAAAGTTATCAAGACCCCAGTCTCAACCAATAAAAAGGCTGGGTGTGCTAATGCACACCTGTCATCCCAGCTACACAGAAAGCATAAGAGGGAGAATTGTGGTTCAGGAAGGTAGGGCAAAAACGTGAGACCCTATCAGAAAAATAACGAAAGCATGAAGGGCTGGTGGAATAGCTCAAGAAGTGGCCTGGCAAGTGCAAGGCCCTCACTTCAAACTCTAGTACCACTTAAAAAAGAAAAGAGAAGACAAACCTAGTTCAATGCCTGGCTCGTGGTGAATGCTTGACTAGTATATATATTCTACATTCATGTGATATTTAAAAATCAACTGAAAGACTAATTGCTCATTAGAGAGATTAGAAAAACAAAACCCTATCTAATGTTACATGCTACATGTACCAGGCTTTGGGCTAGTCATGTTATATATATTTGGATTGCATATAACCTGCTTGATAATTTGAATAGATTTCACAATCACTGAAGTTTTCAAATTGGGCAAAATGCATATCCTGTTTTAGCAATTGGTTATGGTCAATTATTTGGACCTGTCAAATATGAAACTACTTCTAATTTATCTAATTGTGATTTTTTGGTATGCATATAATAAATTCTGTTACTTAGGTCTTAGCTACTTAAGTATATGTCTTAGTTGTATAATTCTACAGTCTATTTTAGACTACAAACTAGTGGCATGAAAGGGACTGCCAGTGCTACTGGTCCCTGGACCACACTTTCAGCAGTAAGACTGTGAAGAACCCAAGAGACCTAAGCAAGAGCTATAAATGCATGGAGCTAGTCTGCCATTATAAACCACAGCTCCAGCCGTACTCTCTGACCTTAATCTTCTTCCTTAACTGAGCACTGAAAGAAATTAATTACAAATTCAGAGGCATTGAATAAAAGTCATTCTGTTCTTCCATTTCAAGTACTACAATGACCTAATAAGGAAATAGAATACCTTGTTATACATTTTCTGTAGTTCTTTCTATTGTCTGCTAGCCTTCCCACCTCTCAGACCTCTTTCTACTGTTTATCTTTGGATATCACAGTGACATAAATGAAACCTTGTCATTTTCATTCCTTAAAACTCCGTAACTGTGCTGTTGACCCTTACTCTATTATGACAAAGAAAAATGAGTGAGAATTGCTTAAATTCCAGCGAAGTTGTTGTTACCCAATAGAAGGAATCGTATGCAATTGTTTCTCTTAACTCCTTAAACACTTAAGCATTTGTCAAAGCTTCTAGGGAAGCTAGTGTCAAAAACCCTCATCATTCTGATAGAGTGAAGATTGAGTTTCACCGTGCAGCCCACAGTCTGTCGTTAGTTCTGTGTGAAATTTGACTACAGAGGCATCATTTTAAGATATGTCAAATTAACTTCTTATTCCAAAATTGGTGTGGCTTGACATGTAATGCATGTCATCTGATTTCTTACAGAACATAAACATAGTCACAGGAAAGATAAGAGGAAAATCAGAACAAGAAAATGGGGAGAAAGGAATAACCCAACTAATGATGTAGCAATGCTAAACAGCGACTTGGTGACAAAGGCGTTTTCTACCTATGGCAACAAGACAGATGGCACAAGGGAAAAGAGAGCCCACAGAAGAACCAAACGTTTTTTATCCTATCCACGGTTTGTAGAAGTGATGGTGGTGGCAGACAACAGAATGGTTTCATACCATGGAGCAAACCTTCAACACTACATTTTAACCTTAATGTCAATTGTAAGTACATTCAAAAGGAGATCATGAGCTCTGTAAATGTGTCTTCGGGGAATGGGTTTCCCCCAATTACTTTGGGGGAATGATCCCATTCAGGGCTGGCATTTCAACCATTCAGGCAAGTGACCAAAGAGAACATATGATTGACTATTCATTAGTTGCCTTTTTAGAATGACCATAGTGGTTATCAATATTCAGTGTTGGTTCTGTGACGGACAATGTGGTTCTTAAAAGGCTCTTGCCAACCTTGCTAGGTTGGATTATCATCGCCCTTTTATAAAGAAGACAACTTGAATCTCAGAGGAGGTAGGTCACTTGGCCATGGTCAGGTACAGCTAGCAAGAGGCTTAGATGTTGCATGTGACCTATAGCTTGTCTACTTCCCAAGTCTCATAGTCTTGGTATGGCTTATGAACTCTGTACATCCTGGTGGGAACCTTGAGTAATACTGTGTGATGTAGGTCATGAATCCTAGTCACCATCATGAATCCCAGCCACCATCATGAATCCCAGTCACCATCATGAATCCCAGTCACCGTGGCACTTCTAAAAAATGTAATTGCCTTCCTCTAGCATCTTATTCGGTATTCTGATTAAGTAGTCCTGGGGTAAATACTAGGAACATCTATATTTTCTACTCTCATATTAAACTGAAAACACAATAAATTTTTAGGATTAAGAAAAATCAAGCAGAACCAAAAATCTATTGATAAAAAAATGAGTACGCTTCTCTATGAGATTTCATAGTGTCTTCTCAGAAGCAACCATTATTAAAAGTTTTGGCTTTTTCTAACCACCACTCTCTAATAGAAATATAATACAAGCCATGATTAATTCAAAGTATTCTAGTAGGCACATTGTTTTAAAAAGTAGTAAGGGATAGGTTATATAATGTACTTGTTTTATATCAAATATTATTTCAATAATTATTAATTAAAGATTTTACTTATTCTTTTTATACTAAGTCTTCAAAATCCAGTACATGTTTTACACACTCTCAATTTGGACTAGCACATTTCAGGCACTCAGTCGCCACATGGGGTGAGTGGCCAGCATATTAGGCAGTGCAACTCTAGATGTTTCTTAGGCAAAAATGTTTGCATGTACAGTTGGTGTGCCATAATTGTAGGAACTCCATCCATGGATTCAACCAACCATGGATCTGAAATATTTGGAAAAAAACCTCTTGCATCTTTATTTAATATTTACAGACTTTTTTCTTATTATCCCCCAAACAACAGCTACTTATACTATATTAAGCCTTAAGTAATCTAGAGATTATTTAAACTATACAGAAAGATAGGCATAGGTTCTATGCAGATACTATACTATTTTACTCAAGTGACCTGAGCGTCTTCAGATCACAGTACCCTCAAGAGTCCTGGAATCAAAATCCCAAAGATATGAAGAAATGACTTTCCAACTTTTTTTCATACAGAAAGGGAGTGATCTAATACTGTTTTACACATTGCTATTTTTTTAAATATTAGAAATTATTCTACAGCAGCACATGAAAATCTGTTCTCATTTATTTTTTAAGCTTTAGCAGCATGACAGTCCTTTTAGACTGACCCTAATTTACTTGACCAAGAACCCAATGAATTCCCCAGATGGGTGCCACCATATTTGGGAGTGTTGCTTTAGTCACCGCCCCCCACCATGCCCTTCAGTGCTCCTTGCCTTTCTCTCACTGCTGTGGGCCATTTGCCTATGCTGCCACAGCCCTCTTACACCCAGAGTGAGCAAAGGAAAAGCTAGTGACTTTGCAAAGCCCTATTCCCACATTGATAATTTCAGGTCTCTCATAAGAATTTTGATTGCAAATGTGGGTGAGATGGCCAAGGTTGAGAGTTCTGGCTCTGTTACTTGCCCGTGTATAGCCTTGAATGAGTTACTGAATTTCTTTGAGCCATCAAGCCAACAGGATGTTGCCTAAAAATCTTAAAAGTGCCCAGCCCCAAGTTTTGCTGTGGGGACCAGGTACAAATGAATATGCAGTTTTTAGCAAGGCTCTAGTTCACATATGCATTTAATTGTAATAACACAAAACAGGTCTTACAGGTTGTTGAGGGTACAAAGGGGTTATGAGCAAAAAGACAGGAAATATTAGAAATCATGGCAAGCCAGGAGTTAAATTGGGAGGAAAGAGGTTGGTGGAAAATTAAATATTCATTGTTTTGGTACAGAGAATTTTTAAGTCACTGATAATGTAATTTCAAGGTAACATACCTTGGAATTTAAGTTTGTTCAAATTCATTATTACCTAAAACTGCCATGAATGAATTTCACAGAGAGACTTGAAATGTTTGTTAAATGAATGCACATTCAGACCTCCAAAATGCATATGTTGCATGAAACGTAAAAAGAGATGGAGCCCAACCTAAGAAGTGAATTGCTTATTGCTTACACAGAGTTCACAATTAACTTTGAAAAATTTATCTCGGTTGCAGGTAGCCTCTATCTATAAAGACCCAAGTATTGGAAATTTAATTAATATTGTTATTGTGAACTTAGTTGTGATTCATAATGAACAGGTAATAAAGCTTTTTTCTTTTTTCTTCTATCTGTATCCGAAATGGCATATCTAATTGGTGTCAGTAGCATAAACCAACCACAATTCTTTCTCTGTATTTAGGAAGGACCTTCCATATCTTTTAATGCCCAGACAACATTAAAAAACTTTTGCCAGTGGCAGCATTCAAAGAACTCTGCAGGTGGGATCCAGCATGACACAGCTGTACTTGTAACAAGGTATACGGATTTTCAGTTGCTCAAATCTCTGAGTCTTGGGTCAAGTTGACGGGTTGGGGTTCCACACCACTGGTAACCAGCTCTAACGAGGTTTCTCAACTTAGACACTATTGCTATTTTGGACAGCTATTTCTTCATCGTGGTACAGAGAACCACTGAGTATTATATGTTTAGTAGCATCCCTGCCTCTAGTCACTGCACACTGTAGCACTCCCGCCTCTCAATTGTGACAACCAACAGTGTCTCCAAACACTATCAAGACCCCCCAACCCCTCACCTGTTAAGAAGTACTACATGATAGCACCTCTGTCATGTAGGACTCAAGGCATTAGCAGTCTAAAAGTAAATACTCTTATATATCAGGACAGTTACTATTCAGATAGAGCTGATTGTTACCCCGCAGGGTCTGCATCCAGCACTTCTAGCTTATGTAATTTTATTTTGCAAGAAGCCAGAAATATGGAACTTTTAAAGATGTAAAATCTTCCTATTTTTAAATGACAGCTGCTATCTTGAAAATATTTTTACAACATTGTACAGGACAACGAAGAGAAGTTCTGACCTAATTGTACCTCCCATTTTGGGCCACCTCTAATATGGTTATAAATACTTCTTTTTGTTTGTTTGTTTCTGGTGCTGGGGATTGAACCCAGGGCCTTGCCCATTTAATGATAAATGAACTTAAGTGAAAAGTATTTAACATCTTACCATGACTTACTCATGGAAAGTCCTGGTGGGAGAAATTTCTAATTGCTCTGTGACTACCCTGGCAGCAAGAGAACACTTCTTTTTTTGGCTGGTACAGAGGTTTGAACCCAAGGCCTTGTGCTTGTTAAACAGGCTCTCTACCACTTGAGCCACTCTAGCAGTACTTTTTGCATTAGTTATTTTTTAAGATAGTGTCTCATTTTATGCCTGGACTGCAGTATTCCTATTTGTACTTCTCCACATAGCTGGGATGACAGGTGCACAAAGCTGCACTCAGCCATTGGTTGAGATGGAGTCTTGTGAACTTTTTTGCTCAGACTGGCCTCGAACTTTGATCCTTCTGGTCTTCGCCTCCCAAGTACCTAGGATTACAGGCTTGAGCCACCATGGCTGGCTCCACAGAAGACTTCTTAATGCAACTTTTAACCCTGAATCAGTACTTCTCAAACTGTTTTGGGTTGTAAAACCCTGGCTTTGTTAGTTTGCTTTTTGTGACCCCTTCCCTAAGATGCGTGTTGTTATGAATGTCTAGAAGATTGAAGTGTTTACTTGTATTGACCTTTACTCTTTGGTGTTGTCAAGACCTAAGTCTGTTTTCCTTTCAGACAGGATATCTGCAGAGCCCATGACAAATGTGATACGTTAGGTGAGTCCTGTCTGCATATCCCCTGTGGCTAAAAGGATTTATTGCATGTTTCTTTTCCAAGATTGACTTCCTTTTTATAGTAAATCATGTTGGTTTTCTTCCCCTTCTTCTACCAGGTCTTGCTGAACTGGGAACCATTTGTGATCCATACAGAAGCTGTTCTATTAGTGAAGACAGTGGGTTGAGTACAGCTTTTACTATAGCCCATGAGCTGGGCCACGTGTAAGTTTATTTAATCATTTCATTTACTTTAGAGCAACCTAAAGTTTCTATTCCTTCCCATCAGTGAGCATGTACTTGACTTTAGAGGATGTAAGATGCTTCTCAAGTCACAGTAGACTTTACAGAGTTGAAAGCTTGGAACTAATTGAGAGAAGTGACTTTGACTTCTGAGAGTTAAGTGCAGCTTGCTGTCTTCAGCCATAGCTGGTGTCTGTCTTTGGTTTCACTGCCCGTGTTTGATTTGCAAGGTCTAAAAATATTCTTCCTACTGGGTACTGGTGGAATGGGACCTTTATACTCCCTCCTTAAGTAAAGGATATGTTAGCTTGGAGAACTTTCCTGATTCAACACATTGTCTAGGAGGTTCCCCTAACATTATGCTACCCCGTAACACTTTTAGAAATCCAGATTCTTCCTGACTTTGGTTATAGCTGGTTATAATTCACACAGTTAGTCTGTGTGAGCAGCAATATTCCTGGTTTGGGGAAGAGACTGAGCAAAATTACAGAGAAGAGATCATTTCCAAATTATGGTCACCACGTGGCCATTATGAAATGGCTTTTCCATTTGTTCTTTAGAAATGGAGCATGGTTAGAATATGGGGCAAATCAGCATAAATTTAATAGAAATTATTCCAATTTTTGTACTACATTACTTTCTAAAGTAATTATTTATGCTCTGTTTTTTAAAATAGTTTTCTCAAAAGATATCCTTCGTATAACATAGCTGGATATCAATTTGTGTGTCAGTTGTTAACTTTATTTAGAGCTAAAATTATCTATTAAGCAAGCTTTTTCATTCAAATAGTTTTCAAATATTATATGCAGTATGCTATACTCGGTATACAGAAAGATGGGTAACCCCCACAAACACACAGAGGTCTCTAATTCAACTTAAAGTAACTGATATATTTTTAAAGTAGGACCTTTCAACCATATTTTAAGAGCACACTCCTTTTTGTCAGAGACCCATTATTTACAGTGTAAAGGGGGCATGACTTCCTTCTATAGCAGTTATGGCCATCTAGCCCTGCTTAGTTAGCATATTGGACCAGTGGCTCCCGAGGCACCTTCCTGAAACGCAGCAACTCCTCAAGGAGAACTCCAGTCCCAGGTCTCCCAGTTGAGTGGCCCTGTAACCTCGGTCAAGTAGTTAAACATCTCTGTGCCTCACTTCCTCATCTACCAAATCTGGCTAATATGACATCATCCCTGGGTATCTGTGATGGGCTGGTACTAGATCCACTGTGGGTACCAAATCTACAGTTGCCCAAACCCTTTCAATAAAGAGGCGTAAGTTGCAGAGAACCTATGTTTATCTTCCTATGCACTTTCACTCCTCTCTGAATTACTTATAATACCTAACCATGTAAATGCTTTGTAAATAGTTATGTTGTATTGTTTAGGGAACTAAGAAAACATGTGCATGTTCAGTATGGATGCAGTTTTGTTTTTTCTTTTTCCCTGAATATTTTCAATCTTTGGCTAGTAGAAACTGCAGCTGTGTGACCCACAGATGCTGCTGAAAAGTGACTAAATACAGTAGTGTGTATAAGTCATTATATACACTGATCCTGAGCCATTGTGACTGCTGAAAAGTCTTGGTTCTTTTTGTTTACTAAATATTCAACAAATATGTTTTATTACTTAGCTCCTGCTAGGAGCAAATGTCCCTGACATTTGAATGAAAATTAATTTTCTGTTTATTTACATGATGAAATAAACTTGACTGTATTAAGTCATGGTGGGGGTGGTGTGTATAAATGCCTGCTCTTTTGTACCATAGAGAAACAAGCTAAGGTTTGAAGTCTTCAGTTGTTTGGAGTTCGTTAGTTTAGGCACTGCACTGACTATGCAGCTGGGAACTGAACAGCCATTCTGTTAAGAAATAAACTCTTAGGAGTTAAAAACTAATTCCACCAAGACAGATTGATTTTTCCATCTCTACCGGCAAATCAAGGGACCTGCATTTTTTAAAGAAAAAGAATACAACACAGAAGAGAAATTAGTGGGACAGACTGACAGTTTCTTACCCTAGCTTTTCTTTTCATGTGAACCCTTCTGTCTAACTGTTCCTGAATCCAACATGAGCTAGGGAAGGGAATTCCTCCCTTGGTGCTAAATTAATTACATGCCTCAGTTTTGTGACTGGCAGCAGTCTTCCTGAGAGAGAAAAGATGAGCTTTCTGACCTTGTCACCCAAAGGAGAGGGCTGAGAATGCCATGTGGGTCACAGAGTGGATGTTTTGGATTGAGGAAATACTATCATTTTTTTTTCCCACTTCCTCTGGGAAAGCCAAGAATGGAAAGTATGTATGAACACTGCTGCTGAGTTCCCACCCAGGCCGGAGAGGATGTTGGTAGTCCTCCCTAGCCTTCTCACAGGCAGAACCTGCCGTATCTTAAGAATCCTTTTGTGTTTGGCTTTTCAGGAAGCTGGTACCAAACAGTTGGTATTGGCATGAAGCATGAAACTATTTGCCATCTTTGCATTAAGCCAGCTGAATTGGCATGCCTCTGGTTTCCAGAATCACTGCTTTCTTTCATGAGTTTTATTGTGCATGCATTTTGTCTTATCTTTCTAATGATATACCTACACAGGTGTATCATTTGTCAACCTGACCCAAAAAAGGGGAGATACCAAGACCCATAGTGAGCCTCTTATTACAAAGCTTTGGCTTCAGTTTTTGACACTGACTGACTTTATGTTGACAGCAGAATCGCAATTGCCCTTTACTAGAGTGTGAGGAATTTCAGCTGCTGTGTTGTTGAACCAATGACAGCACAGAGACACTGCAATTCTTAAAAGTTCACTTAGAATAAATAAATGGCCCAACACATACCTTTTTTTAAAAAATTCACCAAAGGTACTTTATATTAGACTGCATGACAATTCTGTTGTATTCTACACTGTATCTTGAACTTTCTTAAATTTTATTCTGTTCACTTGGATTCAGGTTCAATGTTGTAGCCAGTTGAATGTTTTTCTCTTAGACAGATGCACTGTTGAAGCAGTCATAGCAGAACTGTCCTCTGGTGTTGACAGTTTCATCATTGTCTCATTGGCTGTAGGTTTAACATGCCTCACGATGACAACAACAAATGCAAGGAAGAAGGCGTTAAGAGTCCCCAGCACGTCATGGCACCAACACTGAACTTCTATACCAACCCCTGGATGTGGTCCAAGTGCAGTCGAAAATACATCACTGAGTTCTTAGAGTAAGACTGGAGCTTTCTTTTAGCGCAGACTTCCAGTGTCTGGTCCATCATGGAGTGAACTAGTTCTGGGAAACAGAATACAGAGTCAAGCATTCCATTGGAGTTGTTATTTTTGTTGACATTCCTTGTTGTAGAAAAAAAAATACTCTGACATCTGTGTAGCTCATAGCTTTGCCAGTGTTTTGAAGATTACAGACTGAACTGAAAAAAAAAAAAAGATTGAGATCTTTTAAAGAGAGTGTGTGAATGTTGCTGAATTTGGGTAAAGTTTTATAACTCGTTCAGGTCTTAAGACCATGGATGTGATACCAGGATGAAGGCCACAAATACTCATGCACTTTTGAGTAATTTTGGCTTGGAAAGGGGTGGGATAATGAGATGATCCCAAAGAAGTTTGTGTGGGTGGAGAGAAATTATAGCAGCCCCTCATATGATTGAATAGAGGATGCAGTCTTCCTCCCTCTGTCCCTCTCCCCTTTTCTTTTCTTATTTTGTTGGGTTTTTTTTTTTTCCCCTTGCTCCCTGCTAGGCTGCTCTAAGATCCAATTACATTATACAATGCCCCCCATGTCACAAATTTATTGCTCTTCTCTCCCAGAAGTACGAAAGGTTAAGCAATTGTCCCAAGTCACTGAGTATATATTTCTGCAACCATGGGGAAGAGGGAGCTCTAATAATTAGAGCCACCAGGTATGCATTTTTTAGGAGGGGTGTTTGCAGAGAAGTGAGAGAACTAGAGGGTTACTGTTTTTCTTCCTAAGCAGGTGGTGTGAGGTGTCCTGGCTGTGAGTCACTGATTTACTTCCTTACTCATTCCTTGGGCAAACATTTACTAAACACTTGCTTCTACGAGCAGGGGCCTGTGCTTGGATAAAAGAGACATTATCTGGGCCCCTAAGGAGCTTATAGTCTATTGGGAAGATAATAAAAATCAAATGGATAATTAACCCCAAATATGATTATATATATCTATATCTATATGTCTCCCACTGACTGTCTTATGTATAGAATGTTCTCTAAACTATATAACTTCAGCCTCTGGACTTAACCTTGGATGAAAAGAGTAAAGCAAAGGTCAAAAAGGAACAATCCTCTCTACCATTAAGTTCGTGGGGTGGCCTTCAAATTTCTTGGGAGCCTTTGATGGTCCTTGTTCTCACAATCTGTGTGTTTCTACTTCCCATAGCACTGGGTATGGCGAGTGTTTGCTTAATGAACCCGAGTCCAGACCCTACCCTTTGCCTCCCCAACTGCCAGGACTTCTTTACAACGTGAATAAACAATGTGAATTGATTTTTGGACCAGGTTCTCAGGTGTGCCCATATATGGTAAGTGTTTGGGGCTGTTTCTGCCCTCATCTATTGATTCTGACTTCTTTGTATTCACAGTTTTCTATTACTTCTCCCTCTCCTAGCTTTCTCTCCTAGAAGCTACCTAAGGGAAAGTTGAGAGTGAAATTAACTGCTAATGATCATAGTATTTAAAATGGCATTGGTAAACAGTGCAGTGTGCAGTGTCCTGGTGCTTTGCCTACATCTTCTCATTTCACCCTTAGGACATCCCAAAAGAGACAGGCCATCATCAGGTGCATTTACAAGTGAGGCCTAGAGAGGCCAAGGTTATAGAGCTGTTAATCACAGACCTCAGCTCTTTTCCTGTCTTCTTCCATGGCCTTTGACTTGTCCAAGTAACCTAAATTGTAGGGATCTTTTAGCTTCAGCAAAGGGAATTGATGAAACAAACGTGGTTTCCTGTTTTAGCTTGTCATGGTTGCATCCTATGACCAGCTAGGGCTTCAGGTTACTTCTGGTGGTTGCTCAGTTGGTTAGGAGAAGGAAACTTTGATACACATGTCAAGATGTTTGGACTAGTGATAAGATCCAGTTATCAGGTTGTAAGTGAATAGAACTGTGCTTCTGTGGGGAGCCCATCCATCCTTTTGGGGGAATTTTGTTTTGCTGTGAGACTTCAGAGATTAATAATATTTATTTCTGTGTTGCTCATGACAATGAAAATGAAGAGTCACTGAAATGTTCACCAAAAGAAAGAATACGAAAATTATGGAGCCTCCACTTAGTGGCTGTTATATAATCTACCTGCTTCTGATGTAATTTGAAGGATAGAATAAGTGATTTTACACTGTACTTAGCTGTAAAAGGAGGGGGGAAAGTTATAGAAAAGACCAAGTTTGAGGCTGTGTGTGTGTGTATTTCAGGTACCTTGTAAATTTTCCACTATAAGCATAGTTTATTTTAATAATTAGGAAAAAACCAAATGATGCTACTTTAAAAAATATTTGTGTGTATGAAATATTTCTCACTGTTTTTGTCCCTTCTTTCCTCTAACAACCCTGAAAGCCTTAGAAACGGTTCAGATCATGATTATGATATGTAGTCGCTTAATAGAAAACACACACCCCATTAGTTTTGGGGTCAAGCCAAAATGAAATACAGATCACAGCAAATCACAACCTGACTCCAAACCTGAGCTCAAACCATACCATTCCCATGTGATTTGAGTAGGCACCTGCAGCCCTTCGAGCCTTGGTTTCCTCATCTGTAACATGGGGAGGATTACAGAGGACTCCATGATGGATGTAAAGTAGTTCCCCTTTCACACCACTGTTTGTCCTTCCAGATACACAATGTGGTTGGGGGCTGCTCTTTCTATCCTTTGGAAGATTTTATCATTTATCATACTAAGAAAAAAACTCTTTCCCGCTAACCTGCACCATTGGTAAAGCATTATGCTGCCATCATAATCACATTGTCTCTAATTGCCTTTCACCCGAATTGAGCAGATGCAGTGTAGACGGCTCTGGTGTAATAATGTGGATGGAGTGCACAAAGGCTGCCGGACTCAGCACACTCCTTGGGCCGATGGGACGGAGTGTGAGCCTGGAAAGGCAAGTAGTGTCCTGTTCCCTCCTTCTGTTCTGGGGTAGGAATGTGCGTGACCCAGCCGGACAATCAGGCGTCATGTGTAGCATATAAGATAATGCATGCTCTTCCACCATGCAAACTGTTTTTTTAGGGGGAAGATTTGGCTTCTGATTGAAAATTGTGACACTTATATTGAGGCAGAATTCTGATAACAGAGGTATACCTGTCATATGACCTCTATTTTAAGACATTCTCTCAATTTAGCACTTTCTGTCATTTTACCATTTCCAGAATTTCCATGTGCTTGTCATTTTATGGGTACATTTAGTGTGCAGTAGCGTTTTGTTCTCTTCTCTTGGTTTTGAGGGTGACATTGGAAAGTTTATTAGGAAATTGATGACACATCTTAGAATCAAGGAAATGCAGAAATACAGTGAATTTGCTACATCCATCACTGTTTCACTGGGCTTTTACCACTGTGGTGTTTCCCTTTTAATGTCACCTGGGATGGTTCCAAGTCCAGATTCTCACGAGCTGGTTATAACGGTTCCCACTGATTTGTTAATAACTAAACAAAATCTCTGTTGTGGCCTAATGATACAGGGCCCCATGCACCCAGGAGCATGGCTAACTTAACCTTCTCTACTTGGGGTACATCTAAACAAAAATGGTGTTGTGTTAGTGAGGTCAACATCTTCCCACCCCTCCCCCCATTTTGTTAGCAAAAAGCTTCAGAAATAAGTCTGGATTTTGTTTTTAGTGGTATTGGGTTCTGAACTCAGGGCCTTGTGCTTGCTAGGGAAGCACTTTTTATCTTGAGCCACGCCTCCAACCCTTTTTGCTCTGGATATTTTGGAGATAGGATCTCAATTGTTGCCTAGGGCAACATAAACCATAATCCTGTTTACATTTCCTGCCATTGCTGGGATGACAGCTACACCACCACGCCCAGCTTTTTTCTGTGGAGATGAGGTCTCACAGACGTTTTTATCTGGGCTGACCTGGAATCTTGATCCTCCTGATCTCCACCTCCCACATGGCTTGGGATGACAGACAAACACCACTGTGCCCAACAATTGATTGAGGTGGGGTATCAGGAACCTTTTACCTGGGCTGGCCTAGAACTAGATCCTCCTAATCTCAGCCTCCTGAGTAGCTAGGATTACAGTCATGAACCACTGGTCCCCAGCAGTCTTGATTTTTTAAAATCTGTATGGGCAATAGTATTTATCAGTGATGCAATTCTTAAACTGTGTTTCTGAGAATCTTTTCTTGACTTTATATATATTTTTCTTTTCTCCACTTCCCATTGTCCACTTTACTTACTGCATAATTTATTTTCACCTCCTTCCTTTCCCTCCACTTTACCTTGTAGCACCCACAGTGTTTCCTTGGAAGGGGTCCTAAGTGACAGAATTTTATTCTTCTTTCCCTGATTTTATTGATAGGGGCTAAAAAAATGAAGTGAGTTACCTAAGATTCCATAGCTCATCTGGGAGTGGAGTTGGTCCCTGTTCTTTGGAGATGGTTCCCCCCACTGTGGTCCCAGCCTTTGCTTTAGCAGGGACAGTGGGTTCAACGGGGTGGCCCTAACTCAGCACACTGAGCCCCTTCAGTGGTCAAACAGGAGGACTCCTGGTTTCTTCACTTACCTTTAGGGTGCTTATGAGGTTAAGAAGTAGAGAGCGTGAAAAGTACTTGGTAGATTATAAAGAGGATGACTTTGAACTTAAGTTGGTGGCAGTTCTCATGTTCTCATTTCTCCATGGCTGGACCTGAGCAGTGGCAAGTATAGCTTTTCCCAGTAACAGCCTAACAAAAACATAAGGGACATAGGCACAGTGGTTTCTAGAGCTTTTGTTGACTTAAAAAGAAGTATATCTTCTTAGACAAACAGTGAACCTTGCACCTTTGTGGGACATCTAACTTATCATGTTGGTGGCTGTAGGATCATAGGTTTGCATGGGCATATGGCTCTCAACTTTCCAAGGCAGCCATTAAAAATTGAGTGTGAATGGTGGGCATGGTGGGGCAGATCTGTAATCTCAGCTATGAAGAAAACATAGGTGAATCATGTTCTAAGGTCAGTATTGGGCAAAACCATGAAACCCTACCTGAAAAATAACTAAAGCAAAAAGGACTGTGGGCGTGGCTTAAGCGGTAGAGCATTTGCCTAGTAAGCACAAGGCCCAGAGTTCAAAACCCTATGACACACACATACACACAAATTTGAATATGGCACTTGTTCTTATGCAGTCTAGATGTGACTTCATTGTATGGTAGTGCACACTTTAATTCCAGCAATGAGGAAGCTGAAGCAGGAGGATTGCAAGTTCGAGACCAGCCATGAAAACAAACCACAAAAAAAGTTGTGACCTTGGACTCCTTCTATACACAATGATTGAGACAGCTGTCACCCATTGATGGGAGAAGACAATAAACATGACACGTAGCTGACAACTTGATTAGTTGGCTTAGGGTAGAGACAGCCAGTTCTATTACTTACATCATCTCTGTTTGATCTCAGCCAAATCCCTGGTATAACATTACAGTTCTTGGTCAATCTAATGCTCCACTGTCTGTGTCTGTTTCTGACACTTGTTATTACTGGGAAACCCACAACAAAGAGAAGTCAGTTGTATTCAGTACAACTGTCACAAATGGGCTACCAAGCTCCATACTGCCATATGGTTTCCCTACAGATTCCGGAACACAGCAAAACGTGGAGAAGGTGGCTGTGTCTTTTTCTTATCTTCAGTTTTTACAATAGAAGTGGAAGAGAAGGGACTTCAGGGAAATCTTAGAGCTTCTGAGGGCTGGGGAACCTTTCAGAAGACCTTTTCTGGTGGATGGGCTTGTGTTCAGCCAGAACAGGAGACTTCAAGCATTCCAGAGGCTCTGGACACTTTAAGAAAGCCAACTGTGCAGAGAAAACGATGGGCACATTTTTAATTGTATTTTAGACATGTGGCCAAGTATAATGGTTTTTATTAAAAATATTACAGATGTGGATCTGTATAAATACTCTGAAGAGTGTGCATTTTACAGATGCCAAAGAAGGTGGTTATGTTGGTAGAGATTCTTTGCTGTGTTTTGTTTTCTGTTGAATTCATAGAACTGGCAGTGTGAGCCTTTTCTCTGTGTGACAGTGCATTCTGACTCCCTTTGTTGCAGGTTTTAATTCTTTTTCTTTTCTTTCTTTCTTTCTCTTCTATCCACCCTGCTCCTTCAATCTTGAGCTGCTGACATAATGTTATTTTGATGAATGTCTCACTAAATTTCCTAAATAAATGACTGTTTATTTTCTCCATTCTCTTGTTAAGTGTATTAGCATTTTATTTTAACCCTGTTTCTGAGGTTTGAAATTCCTTTGTTTCAAACTTCCTTGGAATAAAATTGACTTTCAAGTCCCCCTTCCAACCTCTTAAAAAGGTATACTTAGGTAAAATGTCAGTTCAGTGGTTTGGAACATGTTTAAGAAAGGCTGGCCTGGACTGTTGCATGACTCAAGTAGTAGAGCACCTGCTCAGGAAGCGTGAAGACCTGAATTCAATCCCAATACCACCAAAAAAAAAAAAAAAAACCCAAACTAAAACAAAAGAAACGCTAACTTTTGACTCTAGACCAGCCACTTAGTGCTTTGTTACGATATAAAGGCCGTTCTCATATACAGTTATTTGCCTAGTAAAATAGGTTATTTTGTTGTATATTTTCCAAACAGCTCCCATTTCCAGGCTGTGAAAATAGTATGTACTTCCTGTTCCTCCTCTGTCCACTTCCTGGATATTGATGCTTCAGGCACTTTCCCTATTTCTCTGAGGTTCCCACTCTCTCTTGCATACCCATTAACTATTACGCCACTAGGGAAGGTTGAATTTGCAGATTGGTTTTTTAATTAGAAATATTCTTTTTGAAAGGGACAGCAGGGAGATTTGAGTACAGTGTTGAATGGTCACACTCGGATGAACCTATGTCCTTGTTTTTTTTTTTTTATTCATATGTGCATACAATGTTTGGGTCATTTCCTTGTATTGTTTTGTTCTGAGGTCATGTTAGAGTTTGCTCTTTTTTTGTCCTTTTTTAAAATTTGTTTATTTTTTATTATCATATTATTGTTGTACTTGGGGTACATTGTGACATTTACAGAAGTTCTTACAATGTATCAAAATTGAATTCATTCCCTCCATCACTCTCTTTTATTCCCCTTCTCCACATTCCTGGAATAGTTTCAACAGGTCTCATTTTTCCATTTTCATACATGAGTGCATAATATCTCCACTATATTCACTCTCCTACACCCTTTCCTTATATCCTCCCCCTCTCACTGGCACTAACCCTTCGACAGGACTTGGTGTGTGGAGGTAAAATCTAGAGAACAAAGAAATCAGGAGACTCAGTCAGAAGTGTCAAGAGAGAAAGGGGCACTTCCAGGAAACTTCTAGTTATTAAAAACCATAATTGATGATAGTTTACTTTGTAGAATTTATAAAAATGTACTTGGAATCAAGATTTGAGATTTGAATTTGGGGCTATGATCAATTGTATGCTATGAAGGAATTTTGTACAGGTCAGATCCAGTTATTACACTATAAATAAATTGGCTCGTTTTCTGACATATAGCTAGGCAGTTTATAGAGCTATGGCAGGTGTATAATGTCGTGAGAGAACCAGGCTTCTAATTTCTTTCTATTCTCTTGTCTTTTATGAATGGCTTTCATTCTCCAAGTCATGAATTGGCTGCTGTAGCTCTAGCCATGGAATCTGAGTTCCCCACAGAATGAAGCCAAAGGGGCCCTCCCATGAATCACATACCATGAATTCTGCTTAACCTCTGTTTGGCCACCTTCCCAAATGAAAGATGAAAAAGAAAATGGAAGTTGAGTGAACTCCCTGGGTTCCTCAGTTTTCATAGCCATCACATTTCACTGAGTTTTTTTAGATGTCAGAAATGAAGCCATCCATCCACAATGGAGAGGTAAAGTGTGTCATAATTAAGAATATACTGAGAAGTACAATTATCTATGTGTTGATCTCAGCCCTGCCCCTTACTCATGTCTGGCATTAATCTGTCTGTGCCTCCACCCTCTTTTCTACAGAAATGGGGAAAATAATAGGACCTACTTCCTAGTGTGTTGTGAGGACTATTAGTACAGACAGATTGAGTAGCCCTTATATAAAGGGCTTAAGACTAGAAGTGTCTTGGGTTTCAGATTTTTTTTCTGATATCAGAATATTTGTCTATATAGATATTTTAGCAATAGCAACAAAATCTGAATACAAAATTTATGCATGTTTCATATACACCTTGTACCCATAGCATGAAGACAATCCTTTCAGTCTTCCTTGTTTTGACTAGTACCCATGACCTGTAGTCAGGTGTGCAGTTATCACCTGTAGCATTACATTGGCATTTAAAAAGTTTTAGATTTTGGAGTGTTTCAGGTTTTATGTTTTTGGGTTGGTGATACTCAACCTGCTTAGAACAGTGCCTGAGAAATATGAAGGGTATCTGTTTCCCATCAACCTTGTCCTCGTTATTTAGCTCTGTTGCCTATGTGCTGAGTTACATACGAAGTGCTAGGATGAATCATCTCATGTCATACCCAGGACAACTTTGACAGGTAGGACCTCATTTTTCAACTATGGAAACCGATGTCATCAACATGCCCAAGGCCTTATAAGAGCCACCACTGAAACCAGACCTGTTTACCTGTTAACCTTTGTTTCTCTTGACCTGCTTTGTGCTGTATGGTAGCCAGTAGCCACATGGGACTACTGAGCACCAGAAATGCCACTGTGGTTTGAGATGTATTGAATGTGAAGTACACACCAGGTTCTGAATACTTAGTATGAACTAAATAAAAGAGCATCCAAAAATGTTAGTGCGGGAAGCCAATGGCTTATGCCTGTAACCCTAGCTACTTAGAAGATTATAGTTCTAGGTCAGTCTAGGCTAATAGTGTGCTAAACCCCATCTCCAAAATAACCAGAGCAAAATGGACTTGGAGGTGTGGCTTAAGCAGCAGAGTGCCTGCTTTGCAAGTGTGAAGCCCTGAGTTCAAACCCCAGTCTCACCACAAAAAAAAAAAAAAGGCACAACAGTGATCCCTTCTTATCCTCTGAGGCTGTTTTTTAAAGTGCTTTGCAGATACCTGAAAGCTTGGATGGTTCAAACCCTGCCTATGGTATGCTTTTTTCCTATGTGTTCATGCCTATGAGAAAGTTTAATTTCCACATTGGGCACAGTAAGAGATTAATAATAACTAATAATAAAATAGAATAATTCTAATAGCATTCTGTAGTAAATGTTATTTAAAACTTATAAATTGTCTATTTTGGAATTTTAGTTGTGGCATTTTCCATATAATATTTTCTTTCCATAGAAAAAATATTTCTTTCGCCTAGAAAGTGACACTGTTGACACAAGGAGACTACTATAAAAAAGTTACTATAGTAACTTTTATATTGATTATATATAGATAGAATAGTATTTCACATATACTGTGATAAAATCTATTATAATTGAATTCAGATTTTTTTTAACTCTTACTGTGGTTTCTAGAAATTCTTTATCTGTATATGTATCTCATATTACATTTTCTATTGGATAGTGGAGCTCTCTGCTCTTTTTGTTTTGTAATATTGGGATTTGAATTCAGAGCCTCACACCCACTAGGCAGGTACTCTACCACTTAAGCCACTTTATCAGCTCTATTCCTTTGTTCTTATGTACATATGTTAAATGTTGACAACCACTGCAAATACAACCACCATAAATTGATTTATGGGGAGTGAGGTGGCTGGGTAGCTTCAGCCCACATTGTGTGGGTACCCAGTTACCCCAGATTCAGACACAGAACCTTTTAAGCCTCAGCCAACTGGCCCAGGGAGAGAGACTGGTCCTAAACTCTGTAAGAGGATAATTACCAAGGAGGAGGCCAGGAAGACCATAGAGAGTTGGATTATACTCTAACTGTCCATCAAGCCTCTGTGGAGTGACAGCTTTTGCCACAGAGCCCTTCACCTGCCTCCTGTTTTGCCCTGTCCTTGTCTGTCCCCCAGCCTCCACCTCTTCCCTCCATACTGTGTCCTGCCTCAGATTTCTTCATGACATCACAACAGCCATCAACACTCCACTTCAGAGATCTGAGAGAGCCGCAGGGTATCACCCTCCTGTGGCCACTGCTGCCACTCTTCCTTTGTCCCCTGCTCAGTGACCTCAGCTTTGTGTCAGAGCTTCACACCCCAACAATGGCAGAGGGTCAAAATGGTCTTCTCCACTCCCTGTCCTGCTGAGGAGTTTTATTATTATTATTATTTTAAACATCACGACCTTCTTCCTGCTCCAGGCTGGGGGATCATCTGAAGCCATCAGTAACAAAAATAATAAAGTTTAGGAGTCTTGGACTGCTTTGCTTTCATGCTCTTCTAAGTTCTTTCTTGGAGTGAGCTTATAGGAGTCATGTAACTGCCTTTCTCTCTCTCTCTCTCTCTCTTTCTCTCCTTCTCTCTTTCTCTCTCTCCTATTTAATTAAAATTGAGTTTTCCAATAAATGCAATAAAGGATTTTATTTTACTAGGCTTGTAACATCTCTAGTCCTTGTTAATAGAGGTTCACTGTGAAAATCCTATAACTCATTTTTGGCTCTGTCTACAACCAACCTGCACATTTTTCCAAGTACACAGACTAATTGAGCAGTTTACAGCTGGCTGTAGGAGTCATCCTGTCACTTACTGGCCAGTTTTTTGTTTTGTTTTGTTTTGTTTTTGTTTTTGTTTTTTAAGCAAACTGTAAAGGAAGACACAGCCTAAAATCAATAAACACAAGATGAAAATCCTTCCTCTGTCATTCTCCATACCAATGGTGAATTTGCAACATTTCAAAGCAACACCTGGAAAAAACAAATTAAAGTTTGGTATATTTAAGAGGACGGCCTGTCCTACAATGACTGACCACACCAAGCTCTCCCTCACTGTTGCCCTTATTAAATACAGCACTGCAAGTTTGGATTTTGTGTTCCCAAAGAAATGGAGACCCCCGTGACTGACGGATCCTGGGGAAGTTGGAGCCTCTTTGGAACCTGCTCAAGAACATGTGGAGGTGGTATCAAAACTGCCAGCAGAGAGTGCAACAGACCAGAGTAAGTCCCATGGCAGGGCTGTCCTCACTTGTGGGGCAGGAGGGAAAGAGTGGTCCAGACTAGAGAATGGGTGGACGTGAAGGGCTGCCTCAACCCATGGTACCCAACCATCTCTCCTTTGTAGAACTGTTTTTCTCCCCAGGTCCTTCGCAATTAGGTTTTAGCTGCCAAATACTTGATGGTTTTGTCTTTCCCAATTTTGATGATCAGGTATATCTTAGTGCTGCCTAGAACCTGGGATAGAATGTTCATAGCCTTAATACGTAGATTTTTTTCACAGGGAAACAAAAAGAAATGGACATTTTATCCAGATTGTAGCTACTGAAATACTGGAAAGGACTTGCACAACCCAAGGCTGCATTAGCAGATCCTACAGGACCAGGGATTCCAAGTCAGAAATTACTTTTTGAGTCAGTTTTCAAGGTGATATTTCTGAGGCTTCCATTCTACAAACTGAATGGGCAGCTTGGGAGTTCCTCTGCCTTTCAGGAAAATTCTTGGGATGTGACCATGGCAAACGTTAGCAGTCTAACCTTGGTAGGACTTACATGTTCAAGTAAAGCCAATGGATTTGGGCTTTTCCCAGCATTCGTCAGGGTGGACACATGTTTGTTGGGTCTGTAGATAACAAACCACCATCCTCATTACGAACAAGGAAATCCAGTCCTGTGTGGGCCTGAGATGTATAGTTTAAAGGAATAGAAAAGAATGTATAAGAAGTAGAAATATGCAATTGTTTCATGACACTTTCACAGAGTTGCCATTGTTGTTTGTTGTTTTATTTGTTTGTTTTTTGAGATAGGGTCTCACGATGTTGGCCAGGCTGGTCTTGAACTCTTAGGCTCAAGAGATCCTCCTGCCTCAGTCTCCCTAATAGCTGAGACTTATGCTACCCAGCAACTATTTTGAAGACCCCATTGGGATTCGAAATAGTTCAAAGCATTGGGATTATGTAAAAATTAAGTCCATCAGAAATGCTTATTTATTTTCAACAGCTGAGATTAGGGCTAGCAAGCTCTATTGGAGAGAGAAGCAAGCAGGTGAAGAAATGAAGTGGGTAGGCACAATGCAGGAGTTTATTGTGGAGTTGAAATGCTACAACAGCACAAATGCTCCTTAGCTTGAGCTGATTGTTCATGGGTAAGAAAAGAGTCTAAGGTCAACATCTTTTTTATGAGAAAAATCTAGATTGTGTAAACCAAAAAGAACATAGCCGTAGGCCACTTGTTTGCAAGCTCCAATCTACATACATGCTCTGTAGTAGAAATCACAAGTGATGATCAATTTATTTTGGTCGACAGTCCAACATTTCTTTCATATCCACTTTATCTTGGTCTCTAAGGAAAACAACAAAAGAGCTATAAGTCATGGACTCCAGTCTATAAAATGAACTCTGTAACTATGGATTAGAGTTTCTACATAGCTTAGTTTTTTTAATAATATAATAGGAAAATTCATACATAAAGCATACAGTATTTAGAAATTTGACATCATTATTCCTAATTCCCCATCACTTACTGCCCATAAGAAACTACCCCTGAAAGATAATTTGATGTGTATCACTTCAGAGCTTTAAAAAAGACCGTGGATGTAATATATATTATGTAAAATAACTAGTACATAATTCGATATAAGGCTTCTTTTACTTTTTTAAACTCAGTAGTCTACCCTAGCTGCTTGTATTGTTGAAGTTTAAACCAAACCTCTTATAATCTAATAGCAAATATGACTTTTTTTTTTTTTTACAAATTTAAAACTATTTGAACTGTGGTATCTACAATGATCACAATTTTTATTTTATGGTAGGTGTACTATTTGAAATAGTAGATATTTTATAAGTGCTTTTAAATTTTTAATTCAAGAATATTCCATTCAAAAGATGCATTTGGTCCCCCTTTTTGTTTTGGGTTGTTTTTTAAGTCTTCAAGCAATTCTAGAAGTGATGTGGAGAGTAGAGAGATAAATCACTCCATAATTGGAATGGGCTAGACAAAGAGACTCACCCAGTGTGAAACGCTCAGCAAAAGGATGTTGAGTGAAAGAACGATCCTCCTGCATTCAGAAGTTAAGAACTCTCAATTAGAAACCTCAATTAGAAGTCCTTGTCCTTGCTGTTTGGTAGGGGACGTTTTAAAAAGAGCCAGTCCACCTCTTGCTCTTAGCACTGACATCATTCCATTAAAACTCCTCCAAGTTATTTGTACTTTAGGATGCCTCTGTTAATTGAGGAAGGAGACAGACTGCCTCTGAATACTGAGGTTACAATGGCGGTGGGGGAGTCAGTTTGAAAAAAGAAAGGGACATAGAATGGGGGAAAATCAGATCCAAATCTCAGTGTAAAAACTTGCTCAGAGAAGTTCACAGAGCAGATGGTTCATTATGTGGAAGTGGTTGCTGTCATGCTTCTTAAGGACTTTGAGGGCACAGTCCCCTCTCACTGGGAATATGCCCTTGCTGAGTGTGACAGGCCCTTAAAATAGACTGTCAAGCTCCATTTTTTTGGATCCAAGGTATGTCTCTGTTGAAGAACTGGATTGTTTTGTTTGATCACAGTAAGATGTAATTTAAGAATGTATTTAGTTAGCATGTAGACATTTATGCTGTTGTTAGGATTTTCCTTCCCTGAAAGCAAAAAAGACAAGTATCTACGATGTGTAATGGGGTTATATAGCAGTCAATTAACAAGCTGTTGAAACCATATGCTTTCTAATTTGTATC